TTTGATCGAATAAGAGAGAAGAAACAACTGAAGTGCCAGATATCTAAAGGTGCTTCACTGGTACAGGAATCTTTATCTCAATTCGATCTTCATGGTAGTCAGATGGCACTGATGAACAAATGCAAGGTTTTACTAGACAAGGTTAAGCATAAGGCATTAGCTAAAAAGTCCCTTCGATTGTAAACAACACATTTTAGATTTCACTTATCAAAATATTCCAATGATAGATGCATCTGTTGTAAATTTTTATATTGTTCCCAAATACTAGGATTATACTATTTTAAGAACTTTCCATTGAGTGCCTTTAGAAATATTTTCCCATCTAAATCTTGCAGTAAATAGGCATTCTCGGACATGACTTTGTGAACTCTGAATGGACCTTCCCATTTAGAAGACCATTTTCCAAAAACGTGATCTTATAGTCATGCTCAGGGAGTTTCATCTTTCACACTAAGTCTCCTTCCAAAAAGATCTTATGTTTCACCTTTTTGTTATAAGACTTTGCCACTTGTCTCTTCTGGACTTCAATATTAGCTAGCGCTTGGAGTCTTTCACCTTCAATAATCATTAATTCGATATACATAGACTGTTGATAGTCTTCTTGACTTATGTCCATCTGTCAAGCTATCCTGGCAGACTTAGCGCTTAAATCTACTGGTACAACAGGTTCATGCCCATATACCAATTAGTAAGGGGTAGTCCTAATTTCATCTCTTTTTGATGTCCTATATGCCCAAGTAGCATAGTGTAGGAGAACATGCCAATATTTGGGATTTTCATCCACCATCTTAGCAATCCCTTTAGAGATTACCTTGTTAGTGGCCTCGGCCTGTCCATTAGCTTGAGCAAAGTAAAGCATTGAGTGAATCTTCCAAATATCAAACTCCTTGAGGTAGGAGTTGAACTCATGTCATGTAAACATGGTAGATTGATCCACTATTATAGATTCAGGAATCCCATATCTTGTAAAGATTTTCTCTTCCAAGAATAAGATTACTACCCTTGCATTTAAGCTCTTATAAGCTTGGACTTTGATCCATTTTGTAAAGTAATCTGTAGCTATTAAGATGTACTCATGATGAGTCGATGAGGGAGGTTTAATGGGCCCAATTCCATCCATTGCCCAACCTTTAAAAGGCCAAGGCTTGATTATGGGGTGCAATTCTATCGCTAGTGCCCTGCTTATTGGTCTAAAGCGCTGACATTGTTTACAACCTTTTGCATATTGTAAGCAATCTTGTCTAATTGAGGCCAATAAAATCCCATGTGATGGATCAACCACCTCATCTTAATCCCAGTTTGGTGGGACCCACGTACTAGAAAAAAGGGTTTTTAATGACAAACAAATTTGTCGTTATAAGCCCAAAAAGTGGTCGTTAAAATTATTAACGACAAGAAAAAGTTCATCGTCAAGTTGATGTAATAGGTTCTCTTGTAATTGGTTATGACAAAAATGTTCGTCGTTAACAACTAACGACAAAAAATCTTCTCGTCGTTATTTAATAACGACGGTGCACTTTATTGTCGTAATTAGATTTCATATACCGACAAACTTTTAATCAATAACGACCACATTATTCCACGTAAAATCATATAAAAATCATCTTAATTACCCGAATTATTGTTAAACAACGACATTAGAAGTTTGTCGTTATTAATAAATATTTTTAACAAGAATCGCATGTCCTAAATCCGTGGCTTGTAACAATTATTTTAATCTGTTTTTGTATGATTAAACAATTATTTAGTACAAGAAGAATATCTGCCATAATCATGAACAAATTAACATCATTTATTAAAACTCAAGTAAAAACAAAGCGTCATACACTATAGTCTGATCCATTGCATACTACACAAATAATTAATAAAAACTCCTTATCAAAGTTCTAAAGTAAATCTTTATGCTAAATATATTTTATTCTTAATCAAACGAAACAAAAATTTGAATGTAAATCTATGGGCTTGAACATCAAAGCTCTCCAACGTCAAGTACTGGGAGTAGTTTAGAACCATTGTTCGAAATTGAAGCATTGAATTGTTATAGGGTTGTATCTTTCAACATTTTCATTTCAGCTTCAACCAAACTCATGTGACTCTTAAGTTCGGTGTCTTCTTAAATAATCTCTACACGATTTGTAAGATATTCATTTTTTTTTTGGCAGGAGAAAACTCAGTTTGAAGCTCTATTGTACTCGGTTGTGGTCCTGTCATATCTTTAAAAGTTATTCCTCCTCCTAAACCTACAACATGATATTGAGACTTGGATTTAAAAACCTTCCGAGCAACCTAAGAATCAAAGAAATTAAAGCAAATGTTTTTGAACAAAAAAAATTTGTCCAAGAAAATGACATCAAAATAAAAATTGAATATAAACTAAAACCTTGTAAGAATAGTAAGATTAAAAGTTAAAACCCCAAAATTGAACAATAAAAAATTATGTATTTTATCCTATCACTTAAACTAATAGCACAAGGTAGGCTCAAACAGCTACAAATTAATGATGGAAATAAGGAACACTAGTTGTGATGCGTTATCAGAATGCAAGTGATTAGTGAAAAGGAAATCTTCATGAGTAGGGGGATTTAATTTGAAAATCTGTCCATAATTGTATTAGAAAATACTTGCATTGTAATTTTTGATGAACTCTGACTTTGTACTTTGTAGCTAGGTGAGAAATGAACAAATTTGTACATTGTTTACTTGAGTGCAACTAAAGATTGATTATGAAGGCTGCTGTTTTTTTTTTTTTTTTTATTTATTGATATACATGTTTTATACATAGATTTATCCCGATTTTTCATTACATTCTTGCATGGTTTTAGGCTCTTTAGAGCCATTTTCCGCTAACATTCTCTTCTCTAGTGTGTTCGGTGTGTTTTTATAAGTTTTACAGGAACTTGGAGTTTCTCAGATGATTTGGACACGCTTTGAGCGTTTACAGAGATGTTAGTGAGCAAGGATGAAGAACAGAGCTAAACATGAGCTAAGGACGAGAAGAATTTGCAAGCAAACAGTTTTCTTCACTGTGCCCGATCGGGCTATGCATGCCTGGTCAAACCGGGCACAGAAGGACTTATTGGTTGATGTTAATTAGAAAGAAAGAAGTTGTTTGGGCAATTAATCCCACGCGCTCGATCGGGCAACCCATGCCCGGTTGGACCAGGCGCGTGGTGGCTGAGATGCTCAAAGCTACGAAGATCAGATGCAAGGCAGCCAGCAAGGATGTGCCTCGCGCCCGATCGGGCGCCACCTGCCCGATCGGGCAAGTCAAACCCGGTCAGACCGGGCAGGGTTATGCGCATTGCCGTTTTGTTATTTTCTTATTTTTACTTCATTAAGGGTATAAATACCCATTGTAATCATCATGAGAACACACTTTATTATCTCCTTAAGTTTTATTTCTCTCTCTAGAACCCTAGTTTAATACTTTTTAGCAATTTAATTCCTAGGTTAGATTTGGGTATTGTTGATTAACAATTTGAGTAATTTCAATTGAAGCATCATTGGTATTCATCTCTATTCCTTTCTCTTTCAATTATTTTTGTTTTTAATTATGTTTTCCTTGATTATTATTGTTATTGTTTCTTTCAATATGTGTGAGTAGTTTTCTTATTCCAAGATCTAGGGTACCCCAATTATGATTGATGCATGAATTGATTCTTTAAATTCTCTAATAACTATTGCAATTTTTTATGCTAAATTGATTGTGACTATGCCAATACTAGATTAGAGATAATTAGTATTGTTATTATTCCATAGTTTCAATCACAACGAGAGTTGGGTTTTAACGGAATTGAGTAAATTAATTTAGGGTTTGAGAGTCATCACGAGAGTAGTTGAATTGATAATTGGGAAGTGAAGTAAAGTGTTTAATGTCTCTAATTTGCATGATTCCATGAGAATAGGCTTGATTTTGGTTAGGGAAGCCATTGATACTCGAGAGAGGTCCTTGGTATTGATTAGGGTTTACTTTTCCCCATGTTAATTGGAATTGTATGTTAGGGGTAGATATATAATTGCATCGATCGTAATTGTGGTGATACTTGATCTTTGATGTTTTAGCTTATTGATTCATTATATTCTTTTGATTTATTCTAGTTTTCCATACATTAGCTCTTAGTTTATTCCACCATTAATTTGATTCTTGCTTAGTAATTATTTGAGTCTAGATAATTTAGGTGAACCTTAGTCTCTTGGGATTCGATCCTTACTTGCCCGACTACATATTTAGAAGGAGTAGTTAGGTTATTTTTGTTAGGAATGCGACACGCCTATCAAATTTTGACGCCGTTGCTGGGGACTAACGGTTTCATTTGATTATTTGTGATTCGTTTTTGCTAAGCTTTATTCGTTGCTTCGGCTATTTTCTCTTATGTTTTTTATATTCTTTTTCTAGTTTTCTTGTTGCATGCCCACACGACGCTCAGGGTCAGACGATCTTGAACCATTTGACTCTGAAATCGAGGCAACTATAAGGAGAAGGAGAACAAGAAATCGACGAAGGAGAAACATGGAAGATGCCACGAAATCCTTCTTGGAGTACGGTATTCTTGATACGACTACCGGACTCCTTTCTAGCATTGTTAGGCCACCTGTGACGGCTCAGCACTTCGAGCTAAAACCACAATTCATTCAGTTCATCTCCAATGATTCATTTGTAGGCTCACCGCATGATTGTCCGGTAAGTCATATTGATAGTTTTCTGGAGAAATGTGATACAATGAAAATGAATGGTGTTACAGATGATGCTATTAGACTACGCTTTTTCCCTTTCTCATTAAGGGCTAGGGCAAAGGAGTGGTTGAGAGATGAAGGCACTGGCTCGTTCGATACATGGGACAAGCTAGTGAAAGCCTTCTTAGTAAAGTTTCTAGGACAGGAGAAGACTGCTAGGTTGAGAAACGAATTATCCACCTTCAGATGATGAGTCCCTATACGATGCGTGGAGGTGATTCAAGCGATTACAGAGGCAATGCCCCCACCATGGTATTCTTGAATGGATGTTAATCCAAATCTTCTACAATGGATTAACTCATGAGTTCCGTATCTACATTGATGCTGCGTCCGGGGGTTCTCTCTTGACAAAGAATCCAACTAATGCAAAGGAGTTAGTTGAGAAAATGGCGGCCAATGATAACTATCATCCAGGTGGCCAAAACAGTGTGAAAAAAGGAGGTAAATTAGATGTTGATGCTTTAACTCTTTTGACTAGTTCTGTGCAGGCATGGACAAGCAAGTTCGATAGGTTCCAAGTTGGAACATTCACTAGCTCACCTTAGATTTGTCAATTGTGTAATGTGGAAGGTCATATTGCACCCAATTGCCCACAAAGTTCAAATGAGATGTCGATTGAGGAAGTTAATGCATTCTACACCTCTAACCCCAAAAGGCCATATGACCCCTATTCAAACACATACAATGAAGGTTGGAAGAATCACCCAAATTTTTCCTACAAGAATACCCAGGCTCAACAAAATCCACCTCCACCACCACCTCGAAACAACAACTACACTGCACCACCTGGTTTCCAACCAAGGCCACCTCTAGTCCAACAAACTATTCAACCACCTCCTCAAAAGTCCAACCTTGAACTAATGTTGGAAAACTTTATCACCACAACCAACAATTCCATCCAACAACAAAACAGTTCCATACAACAGCTACAAGCCCAGAGTAGGTTCATGGAAAATCAGATAAGCCAACTTGCTCACCAAGTTGGTCAATCCTTAAAGACACCAGGGACCTTTTCGGGTCAGACAGAGCAACCACAGAAAGGGCATATGAATGTTGTTACTTTAAGGAGTGGAAAGCAGTTGGAAGATCCTCCTACCAAGGAGCCATCAAAGGCGGTCGTTGAAGAAGAAGGTGAAGGCGAGAAGGTGATCGATGGTGCGAAGGTCGAGGAGGAACCAAAGGAAGAAACTCCACAACCTCTTGCTCCATATGTGCCTAAGGTTCCTTTTCCACAAAGGTTAGCCCAAGCTAAACTTGAGAAAAAGTGCGGTAAATTTATTGATATCTTAAAAAAGCTTCATATTAATATTCCGTTCTTAGATGCTATATCCGAGATGCCTTCTTATGCTAAATTTTTAAAGGATATGCTTTCTAACAAGAAAAACCTAGAAGAGAATGCTACAGTTGCTTTGACTGCAGAGTGTAGTGCTATTTTGCATAATAATCTCCCTAAGAAATTAGGTGATCTAGGTAGCTATTCAATTCCAGTGAAGCTTGGAGATATTGAAATTAACAGGGCACTATGCGATCTTGGTGCAAGTGTGAGTCTCATGCCACTGTCCATCTGTAAGAAGCTGCAAATGGGTGAACTCAAACCCACACGCATATCCTTGCAACTTGCAGACAGGTCAGTAAAGTTTCCTTTGGGTGTACTTGAGGATGTACCTCTTCGTGTAGGTAAGTTTTTCATACCTTGTGATTTTGTTGTGATGGAAATGGAGGAAGATGTAAATGTTCCGATTATTCTTAGTAGACCTTTCTTAGCTACTGCAGGTGCAATCATTGACATGAAAAACGATAAGATTACCTTTGAAGTTGGTGATGAAAAATTAGAATACTCACTTATGAATGTCATGGGTACTCCCTCCATGGGGGAAACTGTTTGTCAGGTTGATGTGCTTGATGAGTTGCAGAGTGCGCAGCTTCCTTTGAGAAAACCAGATGATGCACTCGAAACAGTGCTAGTAGGGAAGGATGATGATGGAGATTGGGAATCAAGGGAGTATGTCAGGCTACTAGAAGAGGCAACGACGCCAAAATTTGATAGACGTATCGCGTACCTAACAAAAATAACCTAACTATTCCTCCTAAATACGTAGTCGGGCAAGTTAGGATCGAATCCCAAGGGACTAAGGTTCACCTAAATTATCTAGACTCAAATAATTACTAAGCAAGAATCAAATCAATGGTGGAATAAACTAAGAGCTAATGTATGGAAAACTAGTATAAATCAAAAGAATACAATGAATCAATAAGCTAAAACATCCAAGATCAGGTATCACCACAATTACGATCGATGCAATTATATATCTACCCTTAACATACAATTCCAATTAACATGGGGAAAAGTTAACCCTAATCAATACCAAGGACCTCTCTCGAGTATCAATGGCTTCCCTAACCACAATTAAGCCTATTCTCATGGAATCATGCAAATTAGAGACATTAAACACTTTACTTCACTTCCCAATTATTAATTCAACTACTCTCGTGATGAATCTCAAACCCTAAATTAATTTACTCAATTTCATTAAAACCCAACTCTCATTATGATTGAAACTATGGAATAATAACAATACTAATTATCTCTAATCTAGTATTGGCATAATCACAATCAATTTAGCATAAACAATTGCAATAGTTATTACAGAATTTAAAGAATTAATTCATGCATCAATCATAATTGGGCTACCCTAGATCTTGGAATAAGAAAACTACTCACACATATTGAAAGAAACAATAACAATAATAATCAAGGAAAACATAATTGAAAATAAAAATAATTGAAAGAGAAAGGAATAGAGATGAATACCAATGATGCTTTAATTGAAATTACTCAAATTGGTGTGTTTTAGTTTATTGCTTTATTAGTTAGTTTTAATTGCTTTGTTTGTATATCAAAAAACAAAAATAATTGAAAAATAGGAGAATCATGATAATGAATGGCCATTGAACTACTTCCCTGTGCCCCTATCCTTAATGCTAAAAAGGTTTTGATTTCATTTCGATTGAAAGACTTGCATTGTGGACTAAAAAATCATGATTTGACCTTGAATTTGTTGATCCCTAGTAGGAGTCAAAGCTATTTAACCATGTATGATTTAGGAGCTTGATTGTGTTAACCGTGAGGCTTGAACCTTATATATTCATTCATGTGTGTGCTTAGTTCATGGTGTAGCATTGATCTTAGTTTTGATTCTAGACTCTTAGTAGTGTGTCTTAATGCATTGCACGTGCATGTTGAAATGACGAAGGCCATGTTCATTAGGTGACCTCCAGAAGAATTTAGAACATATGTTCCCTTCTTGCTCACCCATGTTGTAGCTTGACTATATTTTTCGTAAACTTCACAAAAATTACCCCTTAGCCCCAATTTGGTTACTTTTCCCAAGTCTAGCTTGGGGGAGCTATATTATGTGGTATTTTGTGTGATTCTATTTCAAGTTGCAATTGATGTGAAATATATGAAAAAAAAGAGAGAGAAAAGAAGGAAAACTAGCATGAAGGTTGTTGTCGAAAAAAAAAAGAGAATGAATCAAAGAGCAAGGAGCAAAAAGGAAGAAAAATTTTGAACTCAAAAGAAAAGAAAGTATCCTTGTTCTTGAAAAAAAAAAGAAAAAAGCTTGAAGTTGGAAAAGTATGTGAAAGAGGTAATAGGTGTTTCCATTGTAGTTGGGTATGCGTTTTGTTGATCAAATTGGTGAATCGAGGGTGTGACTCATTGCATTTGATAGCTCCCCAGTTAGACTAATATAGCCCTCATTTCCCAAATTACTTCCTACCCATTCTTATTCCTGGCCTACATTACAAGCTTGAAAAAGTCCTTCCGATCTTCGTGCATAGCATTGTGTTCATGTGAAGCGAGCCTTTTGTCAAAATGCTAGAGTATATGTTGCATTTCGAGTTGACATTGACTAGGTTGAGCGATATTATAACCCTCTAAACACGCAAGTGTTGTGAGATGGGGGGATTGCATTATTGGTGGGGATGGTGAGAGATCGAGCTCATTTTTAGCTCGCCACATAAAAAGTGTGTTGAGGGACCACCGATGTGAGATATTCTAGTCATCGATTCTTAAAATATAAATGGTTGGTCTCGTTTGGCGATTAATTAGGTGGATCAACGGTTTGAGTGATTTGATTGGTTGGATAAGATGCATGCTTGTTTGATTTCGATTTTGAGTCCGTGTTTTAAAAATTGCATTATGGGGTGAAGTATATTGTTTGGTTTTTTATTATTTTTTATTGTCTTGCTTGAGGAAAAGCAAGAGTTTAGCTTGGAGGAATTTGATATACACGTTTATACATAGATTTATCCTGACTTTTCATTACATTCTTGCATGGATTTAGGCTCTTTAGAGCCATTTTCCGCAAACATTCTCTTCTCTAGTGTGTTCGGTGTGTTTTTATAAGTTTTACAGGAACTTGGAGTTTCTCGGATGATTTGGACACGCTTTGAGCGTTTACGGAGATGTTAGTGAGCAAGGATGAAGAACTGATCTAAACATGAGCTAAGGACGAGAAGAATTTGCAAGCAAACAATTTTCTTCACTGTGCCTGATCGGGCTATGCATGCCCGGTCAGACCGGGCACAGAAGGACTTATTGGTTGATGTTAATTAGAAAGAAGGAAGCTGTTTGGGCAATAAATCCCACGTGCCCGATCGGGCAGCCCATGCCCTGTTGGACCGGGCGCGTGGTGGCTGAGATGCTCAAAGCTACGAAGATCAGATGCAAGGCAGCCAGCAAGGATGTTCCTCGCGCCCGATCGGGTGCCACCTGCCCGGTTGGATCGGGCGCCGAGGAGAGCAGTAAAGAAGAAGCAGCGCTTGTTTTGTTCCCACCTGCCCGATCGGGCAAGTCAAGCCCGGTCAGACCAGGCAGGGTTATGCGCATTGCCGTTTTGTTATTTTCTTATTTTTACTTCATTAAGTGTATAAATACCCATTTTAATCATCATGAGAACACACTTTATTATCTCCTTAAGTTTTATTTCTCTCTCTAGAACCCTAGTTTAATACTTTTTAGCAATTTAATTCCTAGGTTAGATTTGGGTATTGTTGATTAACAATTTGAGTAATTTCAATTAAAGCATCATTTGGTATTCATCTCTATTCCTTTCTCTTTCAATTATTTTTGTTTTCAATTATGTTTTCCTTGATTATTATTGTTATTGTTTCTTTCAATATGTGTGAGTAGTTTTCTTATTTCAAGATCTAGGGTAGCCCAATTATGATTGATGCATGAATTAATTCTTTAAATTCTGTAATAACTATTGCAATTGTTTATGCTAAATTGATTTGATTATGCCAATACTAGATTAGAGATAATTAGTATTGTTATTATTCCATAGTTTCAATCACAAGGAGAGTTGGGTTTTAACGGAATTGAGTAAATTAATTTAGGGTTTGAGATTCATCACGAGAGTAGTTGAATTGATAATTGGAAAGTGAAGTAAAGTGTTTAATGTCTCTAATTTGCATGATTCTATGAGAATAGGCTTGATTGTGGTTAGAGAAGCCATTGATACTCGAGAGAGGTCCTTGGTATTGATTAGGGTTTACTTTTCCCCATGTTAGTTGGAATTGTATGTTAGGGGTAGATATATAATTGCATCGATCGTAATTGTGGCGATACTTGATCTTGGATGTTTTAGCTTATTGATTCATTATATTCTTTTGATTTATTCTAGTTTTCCATACATTAGCTCTTAGTTTATTCCACCATTGATTTGATTCTCGCTTAGTAATTATTTGAGTCTAGATAATTTAGGTGAACCTTAGTCTCTTGGGATTCGATCCTTACTTGCTCGACTACATAGTTTGGAGGAATAGTTAGGTTATTTTTGTTGGGTACGTGACACCTATCATTTATTTTTAATTTCATATTACTAATGAATTCATCTAAGTAATGTTAACTAAACTGCCTTGATTATCCAATTAATCTATACATTTTAAATTTAATTTTATGGGTATAAAACCCCTTCAATCTCAAACTACCTGGAAAAACCACCACAAAATAAATCTTAATGTCTCCAACTTCCAGATAATACTTTCTTTTTACTAACACACCTTAGCAATAAGCCTTGAGGATCTTTTCTATACAGCTTGCTTCCCATAAGAAAGTATTTTGTAGCTACAAGTTTAACTTTAGATGGCACTTTTCCTCTTGAAGGATCATTCAAGTACTCCTTAATCTCTTTTCTCCAATCTGTGTCTTGGGTAAGAATACTATACTTGTGCACTTCTGCCTTTATATTTTCATCTAAAGGTTTAGTTTATATGTGCTGATATGAATAACCGATTCATCAAAACTCTCACGATTAGGCAATGATGATGGGTTTTGCGGTGTCCGACACCGTGCGGAAACAAAACCTGATAACCGGATCGCATGCATAATAATTACAACGTAAATAAAAGCATGCAAATAAACATAAACAAAAGAGAAGAGAAGGAAGAGAGAGAAAGAATGCTCACCCTTGTAGCGTGCTTCGCTAAACCGTTGAGCTCGGACTTGAAAGTTTTAAGTTTTTCAAGTGCGAGAACCTCCAACGGCTCAAACCCTCGCTAGCGAACCGTAACCGGTCCCTACCCCGAAGCTTTGTCAGGGCTAGACCAAAACAAATTAGAGTTTACGAACAAAGGTTTTCTCGCTTTTGGAGAACCCTTAAAACTAACCAAGTCAAGTGAAATTCTGTTTACCCAATGATAGGTATTTATAAAGAAATCTCCCTCAGAATTCCCATCATATTTCAATGTGAGATAGTTAGTAAAAAGCAAAAATAAGTTTTAATTTAATTCCATATTAAATTAAAAAGCCAAAATAATCATCAAACAACAAGTAGCGTAAGGAGAGCAAGGAAGTAGGTGAGGACCATAAGGGAAGGACAACCTTCCCTTGCTCCCCAAGGCAAACCACCCCTCACAACCATGTGGCGCCAGTTGGCGCCCAACCTTGGGCACCAAGGCACGGCTTGCTGGCAGCCTTGTGCTAGGCTGGGCCTGCCAGCCATCCCGCACACACGCATAGCCCAGCCAGCAAGCCTAGCAGGCAATTCGAGCAACTGCGTTGTGTGCTGCTGTTGTTGTTACCGCTGCTAGCGAGGCCCAGCACGCCTTGATGGTTGCTGGCCTTGCTGGCACATCTCCCCGCATGCATGCTCTCCGTGCTGGCGAGCCTTGCCCGCATAGCTGCTTGGCCAGTTCGCCCAGCCAGTGCATGTAATGCATGCTTGGCTTGTGGCCAAGCCTTACCTTGCGGCAAGGACTTTGCCTAGCCATGCTAGCCCACATAGCCCTCGCATGGCTAGGCCATTGCAAGTATAAGATTTTCACGCGCGTTAACTTGTTGTTTGACTAATTTTTTGTCTCGTTGATTTCTAAATTCGGCTCGACTTTTGACGCTCGGCTTCGACGCACTAAGCTCGGAATTCGACGTCTTAGTTCGTAAAATCTTTATCGACTTATTTAATCCTTCGGATTAATTCATCGCTTTGGTTCGGTTACACGATTGAGTGTTACCCGAAGGGTTCAGTCAAGAACAAGCTGTAATATTAATTATACATTAATATTACTAATCGGAAGCGGCCTCCAGCTAGGCATTTCGATCACTTGACCTCACTAAATAACTAGCTTTCCTAACTTATTCTGAACCCTCTATTGAAATAATACGCTTGTTCGAAGGACACCATTCCTTTCAATCTCCTACTTTTCCTTCCGGACAAGTGTGGTGTTTGTGTATAGCCTATATTCCTATGTCACTCAATGCTCCTTCATGAACTATAAGGTAAAATTCTTCTTCATCCTTAATACTTCCAGAAGTGTTTCTTGATTTTTGTGTTCGACTGTCAATAAGCAAATGATTTTTAAAACCCATTTGAGCACGGCCATGCATTTTCATAGTCTCGCTCTTCGAAAGGCCTTGTAAACAACAAAGACATGTTCCCTACTGTTAATAGGGAAACATTCCCAGTCTTGCATTGTCAACTTCCCTTACTAAGAGGCCCTAGCCACCCGAGTGTTGCCTTTATAATCCCTTTGTATGGCAGACATTTAACAACATCAAAGCGGACTAGTACTCAAACAAGAGAGCTAACAACTCATGGTCGAGGAAAGAGGTTCCGATAGCCTTAATAAGTAATATACTTATGACGATTTTAGATCTCTTAAAGTATTCTCATAGCTCGATCCAGTATAGTTCCAAACCAATACCTGTGCAAATGATTTATGACATTTTTGTCCTTATAGCATAAGAAACGGTGCTATAAATCATACTACACACTAATATCATGCGGTCATTAGTCGTCCAACTTTCAAATGACCTCGATTAGGGATAATTTCGATATGATATTCAACGTTCACTTAATATGTGTTTCTCTATCCAAGACATTGTGTTGATACCCTATTTTGAATATTCTCAAATCGAATGGACTCATTATTTAATTCCAAACCACAATTAAACAGAAATTGAACAATAATTTACAGAAAATTAAATTACTCCATAAATGAATGGTTTAACTTAGTGCTTTACATTAAGATCTCCACAACTTAATTAAAACACACAAATAGGGAAATCAAAGTCAATCTCCAATGTGCCTGATTCCCATTGCCTCAACGTGCTTGTTGTGTGTCACTTAAGGCAAAGCTTTAGTGAGTGGATCGGCTACATTGTCGTCCGTTCTAATCTTGCAAATTCTGATTTCCCACTCGGACTTCCATTACCTTATCATCTGAAATCGCCTCATAACATGTTTGACTTTCTGATGCTCCCTTAGCTCTCTAGCCTGAGCAATAGCTCCACTATTGTCACAGTAGAGGTCTATTGGTCCCTTTATTGAGGGGACAACAGCAAGTTCACCAATGAACTTATGAATCCAAATTGCCTCCTTAGCTGCTTCTGAAGCTGGCAAGTATTCGACTTCAATTGTAGAATCTGCAGTCGTGCTTTGCTTAGCACTCTTCCAACTGAGTGCTCCTCCATTAAGACAAAACACGTATCCTGATTGTGACTTGAAGTCATCTCTGTCAGTCCGGAAGCTTGTGTCGGTATAACCTTTGACAACCAAATCCTTACTCCCACCATAGACCAGAAATTTATCCTTGTTCCATTTCAGATACTTTAGGATATTCTTGGCCGCAGTCCAATGCGTCTCTCTTGGATCTTATTGGCATCGGCTCATAACACTCAAGGCATACGATACATCCGGCCTAGTACATATCATGGCATACATGATCCATCCAATAAGTGAAGCATATGGAATCCAACTCATCCTCTCTCGCTCATCAGGTGTCTGCGGACACTGTTTCTTGCTGAGAGTTATGCCATGTGACATGGGTAGGTGGCCTCTTTTGGCTTCCTCCA